CCTTGAGGATTTCTGAAGCCAGTGTGATCCTTACCTTTTTTTTCCAGCCCTCTTTCAAACACACATTCCTCCTGCCTCCCGCATTTGCTGGCAGCAGTTGAGAGCAATGGAGCCTGTTCAGGTTTGTAGCATTCCCCAGCCTTTCACAGAACCAGTAGGGTACTACCTAGTCTGCCATTAGTCCCACAAACAGAGCTAGAGCGGATTCATAGTGGGGCTGTAATGTGAGCACTGACAGCAGCATGGCTCCTTCTGGGATGAGAGACCCACATACCAGACAATAATAGAATGTGTCACTGCATGGCACCACAGCAGCAGAGTTGTAATTAAACTGACAATGATAACTACCTGCTGTATGGGTTGGCAGAGGTCTCAGGTATGTAAGTATAGACATCCATGCTTCATGCTGACACTGAACAGCAGCTGTACAGGCAGCTGGGGAGCTGGATCAAGTGCCTTAATGCTTTCTTTTGGAGCAGGGAACCACATTAGAACGTTGGGGTGTGTCTAGACTACATGGCTCTGTTGATAGAGCCATGAAGATGAGTTTACTAGACATAGCAAAATGTACATAAAAATGGCCACCACGCTGTGCCAATCAGCTGATTGTCAGCACAGAGCGGTAGTCTATACGGGGTCAGCTGCCCCCAGAACCCTTTGTTATCAGATCCTTTATGCCTCATGAGTCTTGCTAGGCCACTAGGGCCGCAGTGTCCAACCAGTTCTGAACTAGCCACACTCAACCAGCCAATAGTCACATGTGGCTAGTGTGTTGGACATCACAGCACTAGGGGGTACTTGGGGCCTATCTATACTACACTTGTGACCTCAGCAGCCGCACAAATATCTGACATAGAGACATCACCACTCTAACATGGAGGTTTCTTTGCAACATCACTAAGACAACATATTTATCAGCTGGTACCAAGAACCTACACTACAGTCTAGGTCAATTTAGGATTATGACATATTACAGAAGCACCCCTCTTACACTGATGGCATATGCATAAAATATTAGAACCCCTCTTCCCATACATCTTCCTGGAAGACTGCAAATGTAACATCTCTTTATTTCTAATAATCCAGAACTCTTCCTCACAATCATCAAACACTGAGGTTACGTCTACAATGTGGAGCTATTCCACATATTAAGAGCAAGCCCGTTCTATCGAAATATAATGGGTGCGCTATTCCGACGTCCCTGTAAACCTCATTGCACAAGGGTTAAGGGACATTTCGGATTCACGCCTTATTTCAAAATTTGGCGTTGTCTTTGAAATAAGCTATTTCAAAATTACCTCAAAATAAACTACGCTTTTTGCATGGTGCACATTGCGTAGCTTATTTCGAGGAAAAGGTGCTGTGTAGATGCACCCCGCGAGAAAGCAGGCTGCTTACTAAGGCAGAGAGATACCACTCGCTCCAGATCACATGCGTCACAACAGAGCCCCCTCGTCTGCAAGCCGGACTAGGAAACCCCTTCAAAACTTAAAATAATAGCCTGTACCTGTAGCTTGATTCTTAGTACACCACAGGACCCAACTGCTGACATGCTGGATACTGTATGTACATGAAAAGGAAGACAGTCCCTTTTCCAAGGCACATACACCATAAATAGATGACACACAAGGATGGGGGAAAGGAAGTATTATTGCCCCCATTTATGGAGAACTGATACACAGGGACCCAAGTAACTGCCCAAAGTCACACAGGAACTCTGTGCAGGGGCTCTGGCTTTAAGAGAGACTGGGCAGGACACTGTGAAGTTCTTGTTAGGCAACATCTGTGCACAGCAAAAAGATCTACCATGCTGTTTAACTCCCCACTTTGCACAGGTATAATGAAGAGACAGGGTTTGATGCAGGAGCCGGGACTTCTGTGCCAGAGCTGGGTATAGAACACAGGACTGCAGAAAGCCTGAAAGAGCAGTTGAAAGCCCAGTGACTGTCCCAGGAAGAAACCTTGGTTTTTGGGTCAGGGGTATAGGCTGAAAAGAGCACCCTTGGAGCTTGAACAAAGGCAGCTTCCTTCTATTTGGTCCCTTCTGCATTCAGAGACACAGGGCTTTGTACATTCTTCCTAAATAGACAAAGCTGCATTCAAGAAAATACACCATTGTCACCAATTTCAACTCCTAACCAAAAAAACCTACTAGACCCTATTTTTGGCTAGTTACTCAGGTCAAAGGGGGCAACATGGGTTTCTCCCAATGTGATCAGATAGGAGTGACACGTAATCATGCTACAGTCATAGAATCATAGAATACTAGGACTGGAAGGGGCCTTGAGAGGTCATCGAGTCCAGTCCCCTGCCCCCATGGCAGGACCAAATACTGTCTAGATCATCCCTGATAGACATTTATCTAACCTACTCTTAAATATCTCCTCAGATGGAGATTCCACAACCTCCCTGGGCAATTTATTCCAGTGTTTAACTACCCTGACAGGAACTTTTTCCTAATGTCCAACCTAAACCTCCCTTGCTGCAGTTTAAGCCCATTGCTTCTTGTTCTATCCACAGAGGCCAAGATAAACAGGTTTTCTCCCTCCTTCTTATGACACCTTTTAGATACCTGAAAACGGCTATTAAGGCCCCCCCCCCACCCCGTCTTCTATTTTCTAAACTAAACAAACCCAGTTCTTTTAGCTTTCCTTCATAGGTCATGTTCTCTAGACCTTTAATCATTCTCGTTGCTCTTCTCTGGACCCTCTCCAATTTCTCCACATCCTTCTTGAAATGCGGTGCCCAGAACGGGACACAATACTCTAACTGAGGCCTAACCTGCGCAGAGTAGAGCGGCAGAATGACTTCTCGTGTCTTGCTCACAACATACCTGTTAATGCATCCCAGAATCATGTTTGCTTTTTTTGCAACAGCATCACACTGTTGACTCATATTTAGCTTGTGGTCCACTATAATTCCTAGATCCCTTTCTGCCGTACTCCTTCCCAGACAGTCGCTTCCCATTCTGTATGTGTGAAACTGATTGTTCCTTCCTAAGTGGAGCACTTTGCATTTGTCTTTATTAAACTTCATCCTATTAACCTCAGACCATTTCTCCAATTTGTCCAGATCATTTTGAATTATGACCCTATCCTCCAGAGCAGTTGCAACCCCTCCCAGCGTAGTATCATCTGCAAACTTAATAAGCGTACTTTCTATGCCAATATCTAAATCGTTGATGAAGATATTGAACAGAGCCGGTCCCAATACAAACCCCTGCAGAACCCCACTTGTTATACCTTTCGAGCAGGTTTGTGAACCATTAACAATTGAGTCTGCTACACAGAATGAGATGTACATGAACAAACAATATTTCTATTACAGGTTGGATCTCCCTGGTCCACTACCTTTGGGACCTGACCAGTCCCAAATGAGAGAATTTGCCAGACCAGGGGAGGTCTCCTGCCACTGGCTCCCAAGCCCATCGCCCACTGCTGGCAGGCTGCCGCAGCAAGCATCCTGCCTCACCCTCCCCCACCTCCAACCCTTGCCCTATTGTTGCCAGCTTCCTAGGCAGCAGAGGCTCTGTACCCAGACCCCTGCTCGAGCAAGCTGCTGCGGAGTTCTGGCCCCAGCACTGGCTCTGCCCTCCAAGCTCCATGGCCTTAGAGTTGCTGCGGGGCTCTAGCCCCAGCGCTGGCCCCGTGTTCCAGCAGGCTGCTGCAGGGCTCCGTGGCACCGGGGTTGCTGCAGGGCTCTAGCCCCGGCTCTGGCCCCATCCTCCAGCAGGTTGCTGTGGGGCTCTGGCCTTGCTCTGCTGCAGGGCTTGACTCCAACCCCAAGCTCCCATGGGCTGCTGCAGTGCCCCAGATCTGTGCTCCAAGAAGCAGCCAGGGGGCTCCAGCCACAGCCCTGTAGCAGATTAAATGAAAACACTGTGGTCCAGGAGCATCAGTGGTCCCGCTGGCTTACGGATGTTTGTTGCCAGACCAGAGAATGCTGGTTTTTGGAGGTACAACGGTACGGTACAAAGTCACAGAAGGGCTGTAATTTTGGTAACATCAGCAACGTAGCTCTTTACCTTTCCCCTATTATGTGCATTTTATGATGCTTATCCACCAGAGACACATGACAAACTAGCCCCATGGCTCTAGGTATTACCTAGCTTTGCAGGTAAGCCAAAGCCATTAAAACTGATGTGCAAAGGGTGTTTGGAACTAGTGTTTTCATTGAATCTGCTACAAAGATAAAAGTATAAGATAGTTCTAAAGACTACTAAGCCTGTTTAATGCTTTGGGGGGCTTGATTCATGATATTTTTAATATTTGAAATTGGCAAGTCTGTTTTCTCAGCTGGGATAAATTGATGAGCCTTCATTAAAGTCAATTAAGCTATGCCCGTTACATTAGTTCAGAATCCATGTCCTTATTATGCAAGCTATGCCAGGGTAGTCATGTTTCTGGGTATAAAAAGTGCGTTTCCCCTCACTATGTACTGCAGTGCATGATAGATAATTGGGTTGTGCATGAGAGGTTTTCTGAGGGAGGAGAGGAGAATATCAGAGATGCACCACTGAGGCTGACCCAGCCATCACCACCAATTCCGCCCGCACAGAAGTTTGCTCCACTGATTCGCAGGGCGCATATGGAGGCAGCTCGCAGCCCCCGGCGTTGCAAAATTGGATCTGTAAGATCCCCAGAGAAATGCGTGCATTGCTTTGGTTTTAAATGCCCCGCTGCATTGTGCCTGGGGAGGGATGTGCTGCAGACACAAGCAGAGCTATTCAGTTGCCACCGCCAGCTGAATGCACCTACGACTTTTACAGCGCACGCAGCCCGGCCTGCTGCAGTTCGACCACGAGGTTCCAAGCGATTTCTGTCCCCCTCCCCACCAGCCTGCTGCACGAGCCTGGAATCTCCAGGCGGCCGCGGAACGCAGCCGGGGCTGTCCATGACGCTGCCTGATCAAAATACGCCCAGACCAGCTCCATCGGGCCAGGTTTTCCCGGAGGGCGCTGAGACAGAGCGGGGAAGCGTGTTGCCCATTAGTGAGCAAGGCCGCCGGGGTGACATGGGGTGGAGAGTCAGGCGGTTGTAAAGGGCAGCCCCAGGGAGGACCCGTCGGGCAGCGAGCTCGTGGCCTGAGAGAGTGACGGACGCAAAGGGGAGCGGGGCGGGCTGGGGCGAGCGCCATGGCGGACAGCGCAGGTAATTGGGCCGCTTGTGAGGCCTGGGACCGCAGGGGTCTCTCCGAGCCCAAGTGAGGCCCCCGGCTCGGGGGAGGCGGGGCTGGTCTCAGGTGCTCCG